CCCCGCCCCATCTGACGCCCCGCCCCATCTGACGCCCCGCCCCATCTGACGCCCCGCACCTGGCTTAGCCAACGGGTTTCGCTTTTCCCTGGATGCTCAGAATCCTAGGGAAGAACTTGGAGAGGGGAGGGGAGGCCGGAGGAAAGGGTGGTGGGTGTGTGTGTGGCTGCGGTGGCAGACTGGCTCCAAGGTGGCTCCTGGTTGGAACCTAGGGCCTGGCGAGACGAGGGACAGAGACAGAGCCCGCAGCGGGGAAACTGGGGCCCCCCATCCAGCAGCCCTTGGGGGATGAATGCTGCCCACAGCAGGAGCCTGTGCAACAGCCTCCCTCACCCCTTCCCTTCCTGTCACCTGCGGGGAGCACTTACCCCGGCATCATCCTGAGAAGCTGGCCCAGAGGCGCAGCACACTTGGGCAGAGTGGCGGTTTCCTGCCTGCCCACGACACTGCTTTTGCAAAACACACGTAACCTTCCTGCATCTGCAAAACACACGTAACCTGGAGGGCTTGGCAACTCTAAATGCCACTGTTTTTATTTAACGGTGACATTTTTCCTCCGAAAACAATGCTAGTTCATTGGAGGAAAAGATACTACCTGTAATAGGCAGAAGAAAGGAAAGGCAAACGTCTGGCTTATTTACAAACACGTGCACACACACAGTCCCCCAGGTTCCAGCCTCGCCTCTGTCCCTGTCGGTGGACATTCATCCACCCGCGTAGCCGGAACGGCAATCGAAATCTGTCTATACTTTCGTCCTAACTTACATAACCCGCTATCGTCTTTGGACTCTTAGTTCGTAGCTATCCTTTTCTATATGATGGACAATTCGATGGCAAATCAGCAATCCTCTAAATTATAAAAATAGCAATTTTATAGAAGACAAAGGTCTCTGGGCTAAGATACCATTCAGTGTGCACCAACTCTTTAAAGTCTGGGATGCTCTAGAAAAGGGTGGATGATTCTACAGCCCAGATCCTAGGGAGGGGGCTCGGAGACCTCAGGGTGGAGGGGTGTAAAGCCTACCTAGCCCCTGCCCCGTCTGTGGAGAGTGAAGGCCACCTGCGTGCCACCTTCAGAATGCCCAGTGTCCTTTTCAGCAACCCTGGGGAGATGCTGGGGAGATGCACAGGTACCCAGGCCAGGTCTGTGCACCCCACCTTCTGCCTGCAGTGGCCCTACAGCAAATCACTATCAGGGCTCCTCTGGGTTGACAGGTGAGGACTTCCGTAGGCTCGTCACCCTCATGTATCCACTGGCAAACATTTATGGCGGTCTATTGGGCTCAGGTGCTGTGGCATCCCTCTGGTGAACTGTGAGTGGAAGGGGCTGAGTATGAAACTCTTTCTTGGGGTACCTGCACCCCAGCACAGTGGCTCCTGACACCACGCCCTGAGGGATCCGTCCGTGTGTGTCCCCGCAGCAGGTAACTGGCTCCAGGGTAAGCTCCACAGTCAGCTTGTTTATGGATCATGTCCTCACTGCACGTGTGTCCAGCCTGCAGCTCCCAGCTGGGCTGCAGGAGCATCTGGACGCCAGAGCAGCACCTCGGTTTCCTTAGGTAAGAACTTGGGTTCTTATCTACCCTGCCAGCCTTTCCAGCCCTCCTCCAGCCCAGTCCCATGCTCAGCGCCCAGGTCGGGCTCAGGGTGTCGCTAGAGTCGCCTCTGAGTTCCAGTTCCTTCCCGTACTCCCGTGCAGGCGGGGCCCGGGCGCGCCAGGGCCCTTGTGGGGGCGCGGGGACAGGGCTTCATCCTCGGCGGCAGCGACGCCCACGTTTGCCCATCAACTCGAGCATCCGCTCCGAGTCCTTCCAGCCTGCATCAGGCCAGAGGGGACACATGGGGTAGCCAAAGGGATGGCTGGGGCGCTGCGGCTCCGTGCACCGCGGGGGAAGGAACCCTGCGGGAGCCGGGCGCGTGCTTTCTCTGGGGTTCGGTCCCCCAACCGCCGCGGGCCCGCGCGCCCCTACCGCGCTCCTCCCCACGTGGCGCGCTCCTCCTCCTCCTCCCGCGGCGTTTCCTGCCCCGCGGTGTCCCCGCCTCGCGACGCTCCTCCCGCTGCTGCACTCCGTGGGCGCGGTGCTTCCCCGCAGCCGCTGGCTCCCCGCCCCCAGCAGGGCACCCCCTCACGGGTGATGCTCCCACGACTGCGAGGCTCCCTTCCCCTGCGGTGCTCGCCTCCTAAGCCCCCCGCCATCAACCTGCAGCTCTCGGCGCAGGCGAGGCTCCTGCACCTGCGAGGACCCCCAG